GAGGTAAGCCATCGGTCGCCGAACTGAGAGGGAGAGTACGAAGCCTAGCTAGCTCTCGGACGCCCGCTACAGCCAGGAAAGTAGAAAGTACGGGGACTAACCTGGGTCGTTCCTTGGAGGAGAGTACGGCTGGAAATTCCGCCGGACGCCAAACCAGGAATAGAGTACAGGGGACGTCACCCGGACGCCTGAGAATGCATAGGTTAAACGTTTGAGAGAGAACGGTCGGACTATCCACCGGTCGCCCTGTAGATGTAGAAGTAGAAATACCTCATGGAGAGGAGAGAACGGTTGGAATCACCACCAGTCGCCCTCCACGAATAGAGTACAGGGAACGAGTTTGGGAGAGAACGGTCTGACTAGCCACCGGTCGTCCAGTAGATATATAAATCTCCCTTGGAGAGGAGAAAATGGTTGGAATAACCACCGGTTGCCCTCCAGGTGTAATTTGCGTTAGAGAAGAGTACGGAGGTTCAACCTGGATCATTCTACATAGGAAAGAAAGGTATCCGCCGGTCGCCTCGAGAATAGAGTACAGGAACCCTCCGGACGTCTCTAAATATATTAGTTCAAATCCGAAAGCGTGATTTTATATGCATTCCCATGTGCCGTAAAAATGTCAATAATGAATAAATTAATATTTGTGTTTTCCCAGAACCTTTGTTCCCCTGACTCCGTACTTCTCTACAATGTCTAATTTTATTTATTAAATATTAAAAATCGGACCTTTTGATACGTACACAGTTTTAAACTTTCATTAGAAAATCACTGTCACTGTATTTTCGCGTTAATGATTATGACCGTAGAATTTCCACTTTGATTTATTTTGCTTGTCCAGTAAAATTACAGAAGTAGCTATTGCTAGTATTACGTCCTGGATATGCATAATATTTTATGAAGTTGTTACAGTAACATATAACAGAAAAAACGTTATATCACATTATGTTGTATAACATTTTGTTTGCATATCCAACAAGTCATGTAACTTGTTTACATATAACATGTTTTGTTACATAGTGTAGACGTGTAGACGCAGCTCTAAATTGCCGCATGTAAAAATTTTTAGCTCAGACGGTATGTGATTTATTTTATCCTAAGGAATTTGATACATAATTGCAAGACCTTTTGTTTGGCTGCGTTAAGTGTCAATTGTCAAATAAAACATAAACACATGTAACGTTTGATTCATATAAATTATCAAAATCAGATTGTTGTAAGGAAATTGAATTACGGGTGAAGGTCAGGTTATTACAGTTTTTCAATAGTTTATACAAGGAATTTTCGATCCTTCTGTTCAAGAAAAATGAGTACCATCAGCAAAGGGGAGAGTAAAACCTATTAATCGTAGGAAAGCGTTTGAAAACAAAAAATGATGAAAGTTGCCCGTAGTGGAGCAAGTAGAAATTGGATTCCGAAGTTGGCTCCTTCTGATTATAGTACATTGAACAATCTTTCCGCGGAAAAAACAGAAACTAAAATGGATAAGAAGAAGGAAGAAGTTGGTTGAAGTTAAGCGGAAAGAATTCTCGGATAAATTAAAGAGGATGAAATGAAGGGAATCCGTATCTTAAGGAGTATATGTCTGGATATTAATTATAGAAACAATTAACCTTTTCCTTCAGAAGTTTTAAGGACTTAATTAGAATCGCTTGAAAGATTAAAAATTTTAAATTGTTTCCTTCATTTAATGATATCTCGATATTAAAAAAATATTTTCTCTCACTTAGCTTTGCGGAGTTGTTTATTTAGGTTGTTAATAATGGATACCAAACAGTTAAGGATGTACGTTACTACATTTAGTGGCATCACTAAATACGTAGTTAATCTAGGTTTGCTAAAATATCCAATACAATGAATTCTTAATGTAATCATAAGTATGAAAATTAGTATTATTAACTTTTTAGGCACGGCTGAATTATACGCGAGGCTATACATATTACATATACTTTAACTTTAACAATCCACTTTAATAATTAATAATACAATTGGGTATGATATATTTTAGTCTAGGTCTAGACGGTCAGTCTAAAAACGGTTGTAAATCGATGTGAAGACAAAAGAAGTGCGATACAATGCATATGAAGACGATTATTTAATTAAAACGGTGTGACTCAAAGCGAGTGAGCCATAGCATATCGTTCTGAAAGATGATATCCGCGAAAGCCACTACATGTACATACATATAGTGGCGCGTTGTGCCTAAGATGCTAATTATTAAACAATGATAGTGACCAATGAATGTTAATTTAATAATATTTATTTATGTATGATCATTAACTCAGCAAGATACTTCGATGTTCCAAGTTTCGGAATCTTATTCTTTCACAAGCATCTAATTTATGCAGTTGCGCATGAACAGGGAAACCCAAGCAGGTATAGTGGCTACATCACCCGAAGAAAGTAGCACTCCCTGAATTAATGAAGCCACGAATGCATTCGACTGTGTGACTGGTAATCCTCTTTCGGTATTTCCTGAAGCACCGTTCCGGATTGCACGTACGATAAATAGAGATAATCCAAGCGATGTGTGCACGCGCGCTAGGGAATGGAAATATGCGCGGTGAACAGGAGCACGTACGCAGCACGTATCTACGGCCAACCGTAACCCGTTGCGGAATCGTAGATGCCGGAACCGGACGAACGGGTCCCACCATTCATGGAAAGGACAAATACATGCACAAATATGCTGCACCCGCGAGTTGCTTCAGATTAACACGCTTCGGCTTTTCGCATAGTTTTGTAAGAGACACGATAATTGTCCAAGTCGTTAACCACAAATGATATTTCAGGGTACGTGGATACCAGTTATGTTCAATTTCTCAGTATAAATGAGGAGAATCGCTATCCCGTATAAACTAATAACAAGAACCACTTTTAACAAGTAGTATTGATTAACGTTTTAAGTAATCTGTATGTGCATATCAAAGAGCTTTCTAACGGACTCTCTCATCAACGCTAGCAAAAACTATCGTACGGATCTACATGAAATTCTCAGGGTAGTTTCCCACCATGTTGTAGGTGCTCATTGAGGGAGGATTTTTCGAAACTCCGTGGTGGAAATGGAGTAAAATATGATTTTCTATGATTTGCGATATCTCTTTAACTCGATGAGACATCAAACTGGTTTTGGTGCCAAAATGTCACTCTAAAAGAATAATAAAATTTAATTTCAAGATTTCTAGAAATTCGACCCTTAAGGTGGTGGAAAGGAGTAAAATGTGTTTTTAAGAATACCTGTTTTTCTTAAACAATATGACATATCGACTTGGTTTTTGCTTCTTAAGGTTTCTTATACAAATGCTTAAAAATCAATTTCTGGAGTTTTCGAAATTCTATCCTTAAGCATGAAATTTCTTATGTTTCTTATCTCGCGTCAGAGTGAATTCAGCAAGCAGCTTAACATCTTAGCACCTGCAAGCCTACAAATGTTGTTTATAAAGAGGCGCTTCAATAAACAATGAATCCTATCATTCTTCCCTAAAACAAAAGTATTGTGGGCGAGGCTACGATAGGGAATCCTGGTTATTGTATAAGAGAACTTCGTGTACTTCTTGCAAAAGACTTAGTCCTCATGAAAGACGATTACGCTTTTCTCGCGAGTTGTCTCAGATTAACGCGCTTTGGCTTCTCGCATAGTTTTGTAAGTGCGGAGACAAGATAATTGCCCGAGCATTTATCCAAGAATTCCATTTTACGTTAGGTTCAAATTAAGTTCAATTTATCAACGGTAAATGAGAAAGATCGTTATCCTTTATAAGTTAATATCAAGAGGTACTTCTTAACAAGTAGTATTCATCAACATTTTAAGTAATTGTACGGAGACTTTGTGCAGTCCTTGCAAAAGAATTAGTCCACCGGCAGGAAAGTTTCAGCTTTAATTTTTCACCGGGCGAATTTCATTCGAGAAACACTGTAATTGGAACATGGAAGTGTTCCAAGTCCATTCCCACCGGAAAAATACTTTTAATGAAATTCATTATGCATACAAGATATTTTGATACGAAAGTTCTTGCATTTTTGTGCTTTTGGCAAGGATTTTTTAAAAGATTAAATGACAGTTGATTAATTCCTAATTATAAATTATGGCATGTGAAACATCGCTTTATTTCTCGAGCTTGAAATAGGTCGCGGATTTTTATATAAAACTTTTGTGAACCCAAGTAGCTCTAAACTTCAATTATACTTAGACCAATCCGTTCGTTAGCTTCCATGAAATAGTTTATTTTTCTAGCATAGTTTATTCTAAAATTTAGTGCAGGATGATAAGCGTATTCACTGAGAATTAAAGCTTATTTCTATAAAAAAAAATAGAGAAGTGGCAAAAAGAATCACGACGTTACGCGCGTGTGGACGTCCGTGACGGGCGTTATTCTCGCGCGAGCACGGCCTTAATTGAAAAAGCGTCGTCATCGCGGCAGTCATTGTTCCCGTCACCGTCATCGCGTGGCACACGCGAGCGGATCGGCTCGACGTCCGTTGTAACAGCGGCTTCCTCTGGCCGACCGCCACACGCATTGTTCGCGCGCCGCTTTATTCCGCGAACGAGCTAGCCAGCGAACGTTGCGCGCGCTGCTTTTATTCTCCTTCGGTAGTTATGTATATCTTATATTATGTATACCACGCTACTTCTATTTAAGTCGAGGTTTGTGACCAATACATTTTTTCTTTCTTTACGCGATCCATACAATGATTCTAGTTCAAGGGCATTCAGTAAGAGAGAATTAAGAAATGAGACGAACGCCGGATGCGAAGCAATATTTACAAGTTTACAATTTACTTCGTTTGAGACACCCTGAACACCATTATAAATGCTCCTGGTATTTGTATTCAAAGGAAATATTCTTTAGTATCAACTCTAATTGTAAGAGTCATTAGTAATCACATTGATTATCCATCGTTCCTTGTTCTTCAGAGATTAACTATTGTAGTACCATCCTTTGCTCTCCCGACAACGCCGTCTTTAGAGTATTTGAAAAAGAAACCTCTATAGCCTCTGCCATGCGTGCTCTCATGTCAGTACGTCTTTTGGCGCGGACGACACATTGCTCGAAGAAGTAGCAATAATGGCTGAGTCCGATAGACAGATTTCACGGAAACGAGCAAAATCGCAAGGTGAGATGGAGAAACTTCAGGAAGAAATAAGTCAATTAAACAAAAAAATAAGGAAATTACAAGAGGAGCGGCAGAAAGCAACGGATGCCGATGCTTCAGGTAAGGTTATGAAAAGAGCGTTGCCATCACAGTAGATTAATCGGCCGAGCTTCGTTTAACNGTTTAATTATTACATAAGATGAAAACAATCCCATTCGAGATGTTCATACTTGGTCCAAAACTAAGACCACGAGTCAGACTCGTGATATTCATGTTCGGCCTGAAATGTCGAGTACGAGTCAGGCTCGTGATATTCATGTTTGGTCTGGAACTGAACAACGAGCCCGACTCGTGACATCCATGTTTGGCCTAAAATTTTCATCACGAGTCAGACTCGTCAAAATAGTGCAAGGGGTTAAGCGAAGACGTGCGCCGAGAAATAGAATTTCGTAAATATGGAGCGCGCATTGATCTCGAAATCATTATGCGGTCGAGCTCATGTCTAAGCTGAGACACGTACCAAGCTAGGAAATACCACTGTGTATATTCCGTTACAATGATTAACCTATAGATAAACACGTGAACACCTATTAATAAAATAAGGTTGTATATCCAACCGAGCTTTATTTAAGCGAAGACATGCGTTGAGTATACTGCAAAAAGAATAAAAGCAGTTGCATTGTCCCCAGAATCGTTAAGCCGGTCGAGCTCATGTCTAAGCTGAGACACGTACCGAGCTAGGAGATACCATTGTGTACATTCCTTCATAACAATTAACATGAGATCCATAGACAAACAAATTAACTTTGTATAATATAATATATTAGTAAAATAAGGTCATATATCCAGTCGAGCTCATTTAAGCGAAGACATGCGCTGAGTACAAAAAAAAGAGGGGGAAAGAAAAACAAATAATGAATGGAAATATTTTTGTTTGTCGCATAAACAGACTCGTCTAATGAGTGATGATCCCCAAGATGCCGAAGAGAACACGTGCAATAAGGAAAATAAATCGGCTAATGTTGATAGCGACGAGTCGTCGGATATGGATGAATCTACTGCGTTTATGGGTGATCAAGGAAGCCGCCTGGATTCAGGACATTGCTGATCGAGTAAACTGTTGGCTAAAAGAAGGAATACCGAAAACGGAACGTATGGAAATAGTCAAATTAGTACCTACAAAATACAAAAATATTGATATCAATGCATCAAAGTGGAACGATGAAATAAAATGCAATTTGAAAGAAGAGGCTGTTAAGAGAGACAAATATTTCTATAGTTATCAAAACTTAATTGGATCAGGTTTGTCGTTAACGGGTGCAGCATTGAGCATGTTACTCAATGATAAGAAAGAGCCAGTGGATAGAGATGTAATGCTCCAACTTTTATCTGACGCCGTAAAAATGAATGCGGACTTATTTCATTCATGGATAATTGTAAGGAAGGCTTATATAACACCTTCTTTTGATAAGAAGATTAAATCGGTTCTAGATAAAGCTGAGCCCACTGAATTCCTATTTGGCGATAATGTAAAAGAACTAATCAAAAACGTGAAAGTAATCGAAAGAATAGGCAAGGACCTAAAAGCAACAACAAACAAGAGAACTTTCAGACCAAATAATTCGGTAAACTGGAGAGGTTCATCGGGGAAAAGAGAGGGGATCCGATGAACCACTACTAAATTACCAAACCAGAAACCCCGAACACAGGAATATCCAAAGACCGTCGACATCTCGACGGGAATACCCACGACTGTAGCCAATACAGACTCAGAAGCAGAAATAACTGAGGTAAATACAGCAGGCAGGCTGCAATTATTTTCAAAGAAATGGCACGAGAAACCCATGATGAGGTTATATTAAGAACAATACAAGGGTACGAAATACCATTAGTAAAACACGTTAAACAAACAGAGAGGCCAAAGTTAAACGTGTTTTCGGATGTGGAAAAAATTCATTTAGAAAAATGTATCATAAAAATGAAAAATATGGGATTAATTGAAGAAACAGGATACTCCGTAGACCAATTTATTTCACCGTACTTTCTGGTGCCCAAGCCAGATGGTAGTTATAGATTCATTTTACATTTAAAAAGACTTAATAGCTTTGTACTTTCGCAACATTTCAAAATGGAAGATATTCGATCGGCAATCAATATTCTCCAAGAAGGGGACTTCATGTTCAGCATGCGTATTTTATGATACCAGTAAAATATGATTATAGAAAATATCAAATTTGTTTATAAAGACACTGTTCTTCAGTTTACGGCATTACCATTTGAGTTGAGTACTTGCCCATATGTCTATAGCAAAGTTATGAAGCCGGTGTTGTCAGTTTTTAGATCAAAAGGCATCCGAATAACCAATTACCTAGACGACTTCTTAATTTTTGGTAAATCCAGAGAACAATGTGTTATAAAAGAAATACTACATTCGTAAAAGAAACTTTAATTAGTTTAGGGTTTCTAATAAATTTTGAAAAATCAGAACTAAAACCGAATCAGATTCGTAAACATTTAGGATTTGCGTTAAACGCAAAAGAAATAATGATTGAACTCACCAGTAAGAAAAAAGAGAACATACAAAAAAAATTGTTAATAAAATTTTGAAGTAGGGTTTCATTGAGTATGGTGAGTTGATGAGTCTTAGTAGCAGCTTGTCCGGCACTCAAGTCAGGATGGGTTTATTACAAAGAGTTAGAGAGAGTAAAATGATTGGAAGGCGACCCGAAATCGTGAAATTGAGAAAAGAAAGTAAAATTAAGCGAGTTAGCGTTGAAAGACCTTTAGTGGGACCAACAAATCTTAACAGCACGTAATAACATTCGAACCTTTCATGGGTTATGGAAGACAGAGGAAAAATTAAGCAACATAAATTATCTGAAGTTATAAGCAGCCTTTTTGGCATTAAAAGCCCTCGCTAAAGACGATCGAGATTGCCAAATTCTCTTAAGGATTACGGTAGCCATTTCGTATATAAACAAGATGGAAGGAATAAAATATACATATTTAAATAACATCACGAGATTTATATGGGAATGGTGTATAAAAAGGAATATATGGATATTCGCAAAATATGTAGCTTCGAAAAAAATCCGGCAGATGAGGGTTCTAGAATTTCCAATATTGACACCGAGTGGCAGTTAGCAGATTATGCCTTTAATAGAATTATAAAGAAATATGACAATCCCGAAGTTGACTTATTCCCATCTAGAGTAAACAAGAAATGCAACATTTTTTGTTCCTGGCAAAGAGAGCCAGATGCATTGGTAATAAACGCGTTTACTTTCGACTGATCACGTTATTTTTGATACGCTTTTCTACCATTTTCTTTAATTTTGAAAGTATTAAAGAAAATTCGTGAGTATAAAGCTACGGCCATTATGGTCGTACACGATTGGAATACACAATCGTGGTTCCCTTTTTTTCACGATATGCTACAAGGAGAACCCTTATATGTTGAACCAAACGATAGATTATTGTTATCTTCTTGCAGAACAATAAGTCATCCGCTATGCAATCAACTTACACTGATTGCAGGAGTCTTATGCGGAAAGCCTACGCAAGAAAAGTATTAAGGGCTGTTCCCATTACCGTAGCCGTAGTGAGAATACTACGTGGAAGCGGGTGAAATTTTTGACTCGAGAGGTGCCCCGGCGGAGCCTACAGTACAGTAGGAGAAAATTGAAAGTATAGGGAAACCCATGTAAAAGCACGGGGGCTTCAGAAGGGCCCGCCGACTCGTTCCGCAGACTAGCGCGAAAATCCGGGTAGACCACCCGCTGAGTACCTGCTAGACCTTTTTTTATGACCGGACCCGTAGTTTCTGGTCAACCCGACGACGATTTCGAAACGTCGTGAGCCACGACGTTTTTCCACCAGAACCACCGTAGAATATCTCAGATGTTTAACAATTTTATTTAATAAGCATATGTTACATATATGTATAATACACATTTATTTAATGATTTCGTTAACTACTGTACGTATTTTTTTTTTTTTTAAATGTAGAAATTAATTCCGGTTCTTTGATATTAAATTATTTATAACTCTGGTTCTAATGTAAATAATTTACTGTCACTTCATGACATTTAAGTACCAACACATACTATTGTGAAACATTTGACATTTAAACGAAATAAAAATTATTAAGAGAACTGAGAACAAAGACCGTCGATACGTTTAGGTTGCATACAGGTCGATCTTCTTTCATCAGTCGATAAGAGTGAGTGAAGTCGGTGTGTCCAATCCTCAGTCTTGATAGTATTACTTGGTGATTTTTTTTATTAAAAATTAACGCATGATTCGATTCATACATATCCCATATAAGGGTAAGTGAGAACTGATCCAGGTAGCGTTCTCAGTACACTTACTACTATTGCAACTAGACATAGTAATCAGTACATTTTTTAATCAGAGTAAACATATAATTTTTCCTCTCGATAAGTTTTAAGCCCTCTAATGTTGTGACAACATTACACGAAAAGATGGAATAGTATAAAAGCAGTTTACTACCAATTATTAATACATTTCTTTGTATTTCTAACCGTATGTAATTGCAAGTAATAATTACGCCACAAATTATCGTTAGTAAAGGTAACCACGTTCCAATTACCTAATAGACCAGAACAGTAGTTGAAACAGAATTATTTTTAGACTGCTTAAATTAAACCGTGGGACGCAGTACTAATCGCAGTTTTCCAAAGGTAGTACGTACGTACGTAATAGTTTACGCAGTAGTGTTTTGCTTAACGAGCCTCCATTAAGTAGATTGTAGCGGGAACAGTGGAAGAGGAGGAAAAAAGCCTGAGAGAGGTAAAGATGTAAAAAAAGGTGGACGATTAGGTCGAGAGATAATCCATAAATTATTGAAAGAGTGGATAGTGCGAATTTTCGGAAGGTAGAACCTCGAGAAAGCAACTCGTCGATTTTTCTCTTGCCAAGGATATTTTATAGGATTATTACAGCGTCGGGAACAAACTAATCTTTCCAAGGGCGAAGTTGTTCGCCATCCTCTGCCAAGGTCGTTTAATAAACTTTGCCGTTCGCTGCAACGTCTTTAAGACGACGCGCCAGACTCCTGCGGACTTCCCTCTCTCCTCTTGCTTCCTATTCTCCTTTCTGGTCAACGAATAATTATTCTCTTAACACCGTAATGTTATATAATAATATGAACATAAATTTCAATAAGTTCAGTCGTCTGCATGATAATTCTAATATAACAGATCATGAATTCGTTCAAACAATGCGCTCGAGTTTAAGATCCGAGATCCTCAACACAAACAGATATAACAAGAACAAGCGAGAAGGACATGAGGCGGTATTCAGAGTCATTGGTCAAGTATTTGCTTGACTTTACTAACAATAAGACTTATCGAATAAGATGATCTTAAGACCTTATGTATTCACAGCCTGAACTTAAGATTTGCTTAGCCAAGGAAATGATACTTAAGGCTTGATTATAGAAGTAAATGTTTAAGCAAATCCTACGTTGTCTCCGGCACTTTTCGGAAATTTTCTAATGTATCAGCTAATGAAGAATGGTCTCATTGTATGGTATTGCATGGTACATTTTTCACATGTTTTGCACAAAGCGCGAACGTGAACTCTACGAATAATTTTTCCGGAAATGAAATTTTAAAAAATGTGAACCGCTCTTATCTTGAATAATAAAACAGAGGAATGGATACACCTAATATTAAAAATTTTATACGGATATGGAAAAACGATTATTCATTGAGATATTAAAGAAATATTAATCCCTTCTACTAGACATCGAATTTTTAGTTAAATCAACGATCATCGTTCAACATCGTCGGTATCAATATCAATATCTTCAATCTCTGCAATATCTCTTATTTCGTCATGCTAGAAATCGATTTTTCTTCGAATAAACGTCAAAACGCTTATGGATCACACTATGATTGATTGTATGTATGTACTTATGTACATGTGGTCCTAAGTCGTGCAAAACCTTGACTTGATAATGTAGCCTTACTTTTCAAATGTAGGACCCTCTGTCACTTGAATAAGAAATTCTTATTTGACTGAATATATGTATGCAGACTTGAGACATTCTTAAGAACTGACTTTGAATCATATTCCAGTAGGAATTACTTTAAGAAGCAAATGCTTGAGTCGAAATGCTTAAAGTTGATGCTTGTTTGCTGAATGTGAATTGAAACAGGGACTTGAGCTTGGAGCCAATCTTAAAACTAACAATAAGCGACGACTCTGATTCCGTTTGTATTTTATATACTATATTTTTATTATCATATAATTATTATGTTTACATTGCGTTATATCTTCCGAAGAATCGTAAAATTTATTGACACACTGAATGAAATGAGAATATAATTAGAATTATTGTTTCAAAGAGTTTTTAATGCCAGGGATAGGTTATACGAGTTGGCGAAAAATAGAGCGTACACAGTATAGTGGCTTTGAAACGCATTTATTCATTTAAACGGTCAGTCACTCACACTACGAAGACTTTATGAGCTCAAAAGACTGGTTTCCTATTATAACTACGTTGCAGAAACACTATAAGAGTGCTGAGAATGAAATGTGGCCATTAACCGATTGCACAGGGCCTTTTGCAGTTATTATATATTAATTGCGAAGCTTGTGAGATTGAGAGAAATTGAGATTATAAGAGTAGAGATTGAGATAGACACGAACCGTGAGTTGAGCTTATGC